ACCCAACGAGTTCTGCAGGATGCGGGTCAGTTTACTGTCTCTGTAGTTGGTGAAACCCCTGAAGAGAAAATATTTAGGTAATATCTGCACTTTCCATTTAGTGTTCAACACAAATACACACTTAATTTTTTGTTGTGGCTGAAATCGTGCTCTCTAAAGGCTTCTTTGGCCCTTTGAAAAAAAAAATAGGACTGGAAGAGCATCCTTTGGTTAGATGAGACAAAATACAGCTCATTGCTCACAGAGACGCCGCTTATATTTGGAGAAAGAAGAGGCATACAACCCATCTGAAACTGGGACTCTTGCCAAAGTAGGCGGAATCACGCTAAAAGAAGGATATCTTCAGATTTTAATAAAACCCTCGAGCAGTCAACAGCAGAACTGGATCAACTTTCCACCAGCTTCTTAAAACACAAATATCTAATTAAATAGCAGCAACATTTACGCCCAGCAGTCAGGCCAGTATGGTCTGCTGAAGTTCTAAAAATAATGAAGAAAAATGATTTCAGTACTTTGACCATGGCCAGATGAGCTGGTCAGAGTACTTCATTAGTTTTTCTAGGTTTTACAGAGAAAGATCTCAAAAGGAAATATTCAGTGAGAAGCAGTTTTCCAACTGGTTGCCACTGGTTTAAAAACTCAAAGTAAAAATGGACAATAGAAGATTGGAAAAACATTGCCTGATTTCTGCTGCAATACCGAATGCCATATTCAATTCAGTTTTATTTGTATAGGACCAAATCAACAACTGCTACAAGGCTCTTTATATTGCAAGTCAGAGACCCTACAATAAAACAGAGAAAAAGGCAGCAATCAGACAACCCTCTAAGAGCAAGCACTTTGGCGACAGTGGGATGGAAAAACTCCCTTTTAACAGCAAGAAAGCTCCATCAGAACCAGGCTCAGGGAGAGGCGGCCATCTGCTAGTTGGGGGTGTGGGTGAGGAGAGGAAGACGGAACAAAAGCACGCTGTGGAAGGGAGTACACAATATGAAAACATAACACTTGGGCACCATCTAAAACACCACTGCCTAGTTGAGTATTGTTGTTGATCATGTCCACAGTGTGGCTGCTTCAAGCAGGATCTCAAACCATTAAA